TTTTCTATCCAAATTCTCTCCAAGGATTCTCTCAAGTGGATTATGGTTCTTCAAGCTTTCAAGTCTCCTTCTCCAATTCCAAAGCTAAGATTCATCAAGGTAGATTTTGACATGTTCGTGATTGTATTTATTGATGATATTTTGAATTATTCGCGGAGTGAGGATGAACATGTTGATAACCTAAGGATCATTTTGCAAATCTTCAAGGATCTTCAAATTGTTTATTAAGTTTAGAAAATGTGAATTTTGGTTGAGGTCCATTGTTTTCTTTGCCATATTATTTCCGGTGAAGGGATTCAAGGTGATCCAAAGAAGACAAAGGCAATTAAGAAGTTGCCTAGACCCCCTTTCCTCTTCAGATATTCAGAGTTTCTTGGATTTTTCCCGGTTATTATTAGAAGGTTTGTGGAAGGATTTTCCTCTATTGCTTTGACTACGTTGACTTAGGAAAATGTGAAATTTCAATGGTCAGAAACTTGTGAGAAGAGTTTCCAAGAGTAGAATTATAGAATCACTTCAACCTCAATTTTGACATTACTAGAAGGATCTGATGAGTTTGTGGTTCATTGTGATGCTTCACGGATTTGTCTTGGTTGTGTCTTGTTGCAACATGGTAAGGTAATTGCTTATGCTTCAAGGCAATTAAAGATAAATGAAAAGAATTATATGACTCATGATTTGAGTTAGTGGCGGTGGTGTTTACTTTTAAGATTTAGAGATACTATCTCTACAGTGTTCATGTAACACCTGAGAAATTAGAATTTGAGTTAGAATGGAAAAGTTGCATTTTTCGCTGCTGGTTCAGTTTCTACGAGACCACCTACAGACTGTACAAGGTCCTATAGTCCGTAAGAAGGCAGTCATGTGAAGGTCCTGGAAGTTTGGAATTTCATGAATCCCATAAAATGTTCCAATGGGACTAATAGGATGGTTCGTAGAAGGTTTTACATCCCATAGAAATTGGTCGTAGAAGGCATTCTAGACTTGGTTAAAATTATGTTTGACTTTGGGTTCTACTGTTGGTGTCTACGGTTCGTAAAACTTACAAACTGTAGGAACTGTTTGTAGAAACTGATTGAATAATTAGACTACAAGTACTTGATCTACGGATGACCATGACGGTCCGTAGAAATTCATACGGACCGTAGGTCAGTCGTAGAACCCCTCTGGCAAATTTTAACTTTGGGTCATTTGGGTATTTTCCTACCCTTTTAACTCCTAAACTACATCATTTTGACCCTATAACTAATTTTAATCTTAGAAATCTACCCATCCCCTCTTATTCTCTCAAACTCAAAAATTTCTATCAAGGTTTTCTCTCCGAATCCTCTCCAAGGCTTCCAAAAGGATTTCTAGGGTTCTTTAAGCTTCTAGGTCTATTACTAAATTTCTAGGGCAGTGATTTATCAAGGTTTGTGAGAAGTTCATCAATGGTTTCTCTTTCATCCATTGAGTCCCAAAGATTTCTCCAAATCACTTTATGATTTCAATAAAAATTCTAGGGTTTTGCATGTTTCTTAATGGGCTCAATTGGTTATGGCTAAATTCAATCTATATGATCTTATTATGCAAGAGTTGAGTTGTATTGCATGCTTTTGAGTAATTTCATATGAATATGTGCGTATATTGTGATCATGAATTATGCTTTGAGATTATGTATGAAAAATTGAATTCAGGAATTTGTGAATTTACTATGATTTAGGGATGCTTTTTCAAGAGCCCATTCGTGCATGTGTGTTTGATTATGAAATTGAGCCTTGATGGCATGAATGCTTTGTGAATTGAAAAGGTTAAGACTAAAGGATACTTTCAAATAGAGTTTCAAAGCATTGTTAATGAATTAGGTTTCTTCCAACTAAAGTATTCTTGATATGAACATATGATCATGATTTAGATGCTTAGATAAGCGTCTTATGAAAAAGTTATGAAGTCATGATATTTATAAAGCTAATCTTAAGTATAATGCATTAAATTTTGTGGGGAGTTGTACTTAGAACTGTGCAGACTAGTGACGATTACTCATGTTCCATACACTACGTACCACCGTAGGTATATGTTTAGTGTTCAAAGAACTTAAGGAGAATAGAGGAAAGTACCTAGTCTCCAAATACTTTTGGTCTTGAGAGGGACTCATGGTGTGTACCCAAGTGATATACCATTAGTTTACAGTATTTTTGATGCGTTTCACTTAGAGTTTGTGTGTGTCTTGGGCTATTTTGTTATTAGAAATAATGGTTTTATGTAATTCTTATAGGAAATAAGTTCGGGTGTGATTGATTGAGATAAGAGCTAAAAAATTGCAGAAGTAGCCAGTGACGGAGCCAACCACGGACCGTCGTGATGGGCCGTAGGTGAAGTGGTGTAGATGAAGTTCAAGGAAATCTGACCAGGTATGGAACCACAGAAGAAATGACGGACCGTAGGTCGAGTGACGACCCGTCCTACACATCCGTCGATGAGATCACAGAGTTTGAGGTGCCAGTACCTAAACCACGGAGGTGACCTACGGACCGTAGGTCAACCCACGGCCTGTAGGTTATGTCGTCAGTCGAAACCGCTTCCTGAACTGATTTTCTTTATTTTCCTTTCCTAGTTGGTTTAGGTTTTGTTTTCTATAAATATTAGTTGTTATTCCCATTTTTGGGGGTTAGATATTATTGTAGACTTTTGTTTTTGGTCTTTTGGAATTATTTTGCAAACTTTAAGCAATCTAATTTCCGGAAGTTGGTTTATGCAATTGCACTTTGATCTTCAATTCGAGATTTCGATTTTCATCTATTCTAATTGTAAGTTCATAATTTCTTCTAACCTAACTATGAATTGTGAACTCTCAAGCATGTGTAGCTAAATCCACAACTAGAGTTGTGGGAACCATGAGCAATTAACAAATTATGAATAATAATTAAGTAATTCTTGAATAGTGTTTATGCATGTATTATTAATCTTTTTGTTTAGAAGTCTTTCTATGGCTGTACAATGTTAGAACTCGCCTCATTCCTAGTTAACTTACCAAGGGGGTAATGAATGAGAAAAAGATTAAGTAATAGAGATTTAGTAAAGGATATGCTGCTATCTAATAGTCTGACTTTAATTAATCGAGGAAAGGGTGAATACCCTAAGTTAATTGATACAATGACTAATATGGGGTAAATATAAGGGTTAGTAAAGCACACATTCGTAGATTTACCAAGTCACGAGTGAGAGTCCTTACGATTATTACCAATCACTTAGGGATACATAACTTATCGGCCTTGCATGTCAAACACTAGGATAGGATTACTATTATTAGGATTACTACGTTAAAAGCTTATGGGGAACACACATATCCTAGTTTCCATCTTATGTTGATATCTCAAACTGTGAATCTTGCTTACTTGTTACTTATTCATTCAAATCAACAATTTGTTACTTTGTTTACAAAAACCCCCTATTTACTTTTCTCAGAAATAGTTTGACTAAAAAGATATAATTGTGAGTTAAGTTTAAGTCTAAACCATATTCCTCATGGATCGATCCCATCCTACAAGTTGTGTTCTTTACTTGATAATGATCGCTTATGCTTCTTTAAGAAAGGTGAAATTTGAGCGTATCAAATTTGTGCGCCGCTGCTGGGGAATATGACTTTTAGATTAAGTTTAACTACATTATTAAACTTTCGTCAAGTATTTCCTGATATTACATTTTTGTTTTGTTTTTGTTTTTTACAGGTTTCAAATCTAGTGTATGCCAAGTACACGAAGTCAAGGCGAACCCTTGACCCCCTACGATTCTGAATTGAGAAGAACCTGAGGAAAATTAATAATCAAGGGGTACACACAATCCAATCAGAGAGAGTCTAGGAGATGGAGTTGAATTGCAGCCTCCTAGGGTTGTTAATGTGCCCGCTCAGGTTCATGGTGGTAATCTAATAAAAATGTAGAAAGGGTGCAAAATCCACTAGCACTGAGGTTTCATGATTAGTACAGGGTTGACTATGATGCAGTTGGATCAGATGGGCCTATTGTTCTTCCACCTCTATCTCCAGGGCATACATTCATGGTGACCAACAGACTTATAATTCTCAGTACTACCTCGAGAGTCAATAAGCAGTTCTTGGGATAGGTTCACTGGGTTCATGAAGAGTGTTCCGAATCACCGCATAGATGATGAGTCACTAAAGGAGTACTTCTATAGAGGACATGATGACAATGAAAGGGCTGTGTTAGATATTATTGTCGGAAGATCATATGGTGAGTGCATTTTCGAGGAGATCGGTGAAAAACTTGAGAGGATTTCCTAAAACAATAAAACATGGAGCACTAGAAAGGAAAATACTAGTAGGAGCACGTTTGCTGTACAAACTGCACCGAATCAATCTAATGATGACCTTCGTGAAGAGAAGGCTCAAATGAGGACAAAACTGGGCTTGGTATTGAAACATGCGAGTGGAAATGCAAAAAATGTTAATGCAGTAAATTATCTAACTAGAACTCCACCACCACCAGTTGAGGATTGTTACTATGAGGAGGATGCAAATTTGGTGAATGATCAGACGGGGGGTTTCCGAACCAACTCCTAAGGTTCCAAATTGGATAATTGGTGCCAAGGTCAAGGAAACCAAGGTCAGAACTATGGAAACTAAAACCAAGAGGGAAACTATGTTCAGGATGGGAACTTCAACCGTGATAACAACTACAACCGGAACTATGGCAACATGAATGAGAGAGTTGGGCCCTATGTTCCACCTAGTAATAAAGAATCTGGTAATAGTGAGGGTGGTAATAGTATGACTCGCATTGAGGATATGATGCAAAAAATAATGAAGAGGTTTGATGCGACATATGAAAATGTGAAAGATATGTGTAATGATTTATCTAGGATTGGTTAGAAGGTGGATGCACATGCAATGTCAATAAAGCAACTCAAGCAACAGTTTAGTCAGTTGTCCACTACTATAAAGCCATATCGGCCGGCACACTTCCTAGCAACACCATCCAAATTACAAAAAATGATGGGCATGTATGGCAGTCACTACTTACGGAGGAAAGCATACTATTGATCCCTCCATGCCGTCTAAAATTGAGAGAGTGATAGAAAATGATGAGGATGAGATTGAGGTTACTAAAGATCCGATAGTTGATACAGAAAAGGAAGCTAAGGTGACCCAAAAAGTTGTTCCCATGCCTAGACCTCCACCTCTGTTTCCACAATGGTTGGTGAAAAAGACTGAAGAAGGGAAATACTGCAGGTTCATAGCTATGTTGAGGAAACTGTCCGTAAATGTCCTATTGATAGATGCTTTGGAACAAATGCCGGGGTATGCTAAATTCATGAAGGTCTTGGTGACCAAAAAGAGGGCTGTCAGTTTTAAGAATGATGAGAGGTTGCAACACTGTAGTGCTATTGCTAATGGGTCACTTGTGCAAAAGAAAGATGATCCTGGAGCTTTTACGATTCCTTGTACCATTGGTATGTTGCACTTTGCGAAGGCCTTGTGTGATTTGGGTGCAAGCATTAATTTGATGCCATTTTCGATTTTTAAGATCTTGGGTTTGGGAGCTCCAAAACCGACTGCAATGCGTTTACTCATGGCTGATAGAACTGTGAAGAGGCCCATTGGAGTGTTGCAAGATGTCCTTGTGAAAGTATAGTCATTCATCTTTCCGGTGGACTTTGTGATCTTAGATTGTGAGGTTGATTTTGAGGTTCCCATCATCTTAGGGAGACTTTCTTTCTACTGCGCGTGCGTTGGCTGATATGGAGAGATGGGAGATGAAGTTTCGATTAAACATTGAAGAGGTAACTTTTAACATATGTAGGTCTATGAAGCATGAAAGGGATCTTCAATTGGTATCTGTGGTGAATCACATTGTGGGGAAAAAATCTGAGGTGTCCATTGAGGAAATGTTAGGTGTTAATGCACAAGCAGCGGTGATAATGAATTTTGACAGTGATGATATTGATGAGTATGATGAGCTAGTTGCTGCACTTTATAGGTTCGAGTTTCGTTTCAAGCCAAAATAGTTGGAATTAGACATGAAGAATCGTGACACCCTACCTACAAAACCGTCTATTGATGAGCCTCCAAAACTGGAACGTAAGGTCATACCATCCCACTTGAGGTATGTATTCTTGGGACAAAATAGCACCTTGACGTTGTTATTGCTGCTGACTTAAGTAAAGGGAAAATAGAAGCTTTGCTATTGGTGTTGAAGAGGTTCAAGAGGGCTATGATGAACTATTGCGGACATTATTGGGATTCCTCCGGGCATTTGTTCTCACAAAATCCAACTTATGCCAGATAGTAAGCCAAGTATTAAGCATCAAAGGAGAATAAATCCCCTTATGCAAGAGGTTGTGAAAAAGGAGATCATTAAGTGGTTGGATGCGAGAGTTACATATCTCATTGTCGATAGTAGTTAGGTTTGTCCAGTTCAGTGTGTGCCAAAGAAAAGAGAAATTACTGTGGTTCCTAATGCTAAAACGAGCTTGTTCCAATGAGGCCGGTGACTGGTTGAAGAGTGTGTATGGGCTACCGCAAGTTAAATGCATGGACTGAGAAAAACCATTTCCCAATGCTGTTCATGGATCAGATGTTCGATCGTCTCGCTAGTAAGGGTTGGTATTATTTTCTACATGGGTATTATGGCTACAATCAAATCTTCATAGCTCCGGAAGACAAAGAGAAAACCATATTCACTAGTCTATATATGACCTTCGCCTTTAAAATGATGACATTTGGGTTATGTAATACTCCAGTGACCTTCCAGCGTTGTGTGATGCCGATATTTTTAGATATGGTTGAGGACACAATAAAGGTATTTATGGATGATTTCTCTATGGTAGGTGACTCGTTTGATGACTATTTGACGCATTCGGCTGAGGTACTAAAATGGTGTGAAGAGTGGGATTTTGTGCTCAACTGGGAAAAGTGCCACTTTATGGTGAAATAGGGTATAGTTTTGGGTCATCGGATTTTGCAGAAAGGTATTGAGGTTGATAGAGCTAAAGTTGAGGTAATAGAAAAGCTTCCACCACCTATCTTTGTAAAAGGTGTTAGAAGTTTTCTTGGGCATGCGGGTTTCTATAGAAGGTTCATAAAAGATTTCTCTAAAATTGCACACCCATTGTGTAAGCTAATTTAGAAAGAGTGTAAGTTTGAATTTGATGATGTTTGTCTGAGAGCATTTAGAGAATCAAAGGAGAAGATAACTTCGACACCTATCATTATTTCATCGGATTGGGGACAACCATTTGAAGTGATGTGTGATTCTAATGGGGTGGCGCTTGGTGCAGTGCTAGGACAAAGGCGAGAGAAGATTCTTCATCTGATCTACTATGCCAGCAAAGCTTTAAATGTGGCCCAAAAGAACTATTATGTGACTGAACAGGAACTCATTGCTCTGGTTTTCGCATTCGACAAATTTAGATCCTACTAGCTTGGTACTAAGGTCATAGTGCATACTGACCATTCTGCATTGAGATATCTGATGGCTAAAAAGGATGCCAAAACAAAGATTGATTAGATGGGTGCTTTTGTTGCAAGAGTTCGATTTTGAGGTAAAAGACAGAAAGGGAACATAAAATCAGGTTGCTGATGACTTATCTAGACTAAAGGAGGAAACTATGATCAAGCTAGAGGATGGAGTTGAGAATAATGATGCATTCCTTGATGAATAGGTATTGCCTGCTTCTTATGATCTTATCCCTTGGTTCGTAGATTTTGCTAACTACTTGGCAAGCGATTTGGTTCCATCGGACTTGTCATTTCACCAAAGGAATTTTTTTTATGTCGGATGTGAAGAGGTTCTTTTGGGATGCGCCTAACTTGTTTCGTGTTTGTGTTGATGGGATTATTCGTCGTTGTGTGCCCGAGGTTGAGATGATGAGTATACTAGAGGCGTGTCATTCATCGCCTGTTGGTGGGAACCATAGTGGTATCCGGACTGCCCATAAGATTTTGCAGTGTGGGTATTACTAGCCTACCATCCACCAAGATGCTCATGATTTCGCCAAGTCTTGTGACCGTTGCCAGCGTGAAAGAGGAATTTTGAAAAGGCAAGAACTACCTATGAACCCAATATTGGTGATCGAGCTTTTTGATGTTTGGTGTCTTGATTTCATGGGTCCATTTATGAGTTCGAATGTGATGAAGTACATTCTTGTTGCGGTTGACTATGTATCAAAATGGGTGAATGCAGTCGTACTTTCAAACAATGAGGGAAAGAGTGTCACCGAATTCTTGAAAAATAATATCTTCTCCAGATTTGGTACACCAAGGGCAATCATAAGCGATAGAGGTTCTCACTTTAGTAATAAGTTGTTCGAAGAGTTGGTTGAGAAATATGGTGTTCGCCACAGCGTAGCAACCCCGTATCATACACAGTCAAGTGGGCAAGTTGAATTGTGGAATCGTGAGATAAAGAAAATTCTTTCAAAGACCGTAAATACTAACATAACTGATTGGTCTAAGAGGCTTGATGATGCTCTATGAGATTATCGTACTGCATTCGAAACTCCCATTGGTATTTCCCCCTACCAACTTGTATATGGGACATCTTGCCATTTTCCTGAAGAGCTGAATATAAAGCAATATGGGCGCTAAATAAGTTGAATATGGATTGGGGCGCCGCATCGAGTCAAAGACTGAATGACATAAATGAGCTTGATGAGTTTTGCCTAAAATCATATGAGAGTTTAACCTTGTACAAGGAGAAGATGAAAAGGTACCATGATCAAAAGATTGAAAAGCGCAAATTTACTCCCGGTGATCTGGTATTCCTATTTAACCCAAGGTTGCGCTTGTTTACTGGAAAACTCAAGTTCAAGTGGACCGGGCCTTTCACAGTAACCCAAGTATTTCCACATAGAGCAGTTGAACTCGAGAACAAGGAAGGAATGGGGTTCAAGGTGAACGGTCAGAGGATCAAAATCTACTTGGGTAAATCCAAGAGTATCAATGAAGTGGTAGTGGAATAGGATCTTAGCGCAGTCGGAGTAACTAAGGTGTCTGTGTCGTGCCACGACGATAAATCAAGCATTGTTTGGGAGGCAACCCAAGATGTAAATTCTAGACAACTATAGGAATTTTCTTTTCGATATAGGGAGTTTTCTTAAATTTGTAGCTTTCTAGATAGTTGTTTATTAATTTTTGTTTTTAGTGTTGGCTAGTTATAGATAAAATAGGGTCTGTGTCTAAAAAGTGTCATGAAAATGTAAAAATGAAGTTCTAAGGTTTTCTACGTGTGCAGGGACGAAAAGACAAAATCTACAGAAAATAGGCTGATGTAGTGGTCTATGGGTCCTATCGACGGTCCGTTGGTCCGTCCACGGACCGTGGATGGCATCCCTAGATCCCAGGTATGTTTCTATTTTTTTTTCTAACTGTTGGAATGAACCACGGTTCCCATCGACATACCTTAACGTTGACCCACAGACCGTCGATGGGGTCTCGTGGGTCTAAGTTAGGGTTTCTGATCATTTCAAATACACCCCACTTCCTTCCCTCCCCCCCCCCCCCCAACCGTTACCAACTGATTCATCAACCCACAATTACCCACTAACTTCCCAATCAAACCCTTATAATCCCCCCATTCCATTTTTAATCACCCCTAATCCAAATTCTGCCATTTTCTCCACAATTCTCCCATTCTCTCTTAAGTTCCTCCATTTCCATCTAGCATTTCAAGGTTCGGGTTCAGTGTCAACGTTGGTCTAGGATAATTTATACTTGATCACACACTCATCAACGTTGTTTACTTGTAAGGTAATCGATTTCTCCCAAACTTTGAATCTTTCATTGTTTAAGTTTGAAGTCACAACGTTGAACTTGACCTTGGGTAATTCAAATGCTTGCATAATTGGTTGGATCTAGTTTAGATAATACCCTTGGAATGATGGTGTGTGAGTGTGTAGTAAATTTTAACTTGAATAAATGGGTTTGTTAGGTCTAATCGAGAGTTTGACATAGGGTTTCATTGTCTCTTTGTGTTGAACTTTGAATGTTGCATAATCAAAACCCTATGAATGATGAACTATCAAATAATAGGTTGAAATGCATGTTTAGACTTAGATTCATTGATTGATTGTTGTGGTTAATTTGTTATATGATGTCTTGAACTTAATACCTGGCACAACTTTGTTACACGGCCACAACTGACGGAGGTCGTGGTTCGTTAACCACACACACACAAAAATATGCTAAGTCAGGAACCACGGTGTGGACTACGGTCCATCGTTCCATCGACAGACTGTTCTGAACATCCGTGGTTCCAACTTTAGAGAACCAAAAATGGACCTCCTGACCTACGAAGGTGACCCACGACCCATCACTCCATCGACGAACCGTAGGTCCCAAAACAGTCACTGTTTGTCAAGTTTTTTAAAAAAATTCTAGGTCCCAAGTGTGTTCTAAAATTATTCCATGGTTCTTTTTGACTTGTTTTAGTACTAACTAGTCTTCCATAGGTACCATTGCTCCGAAAGAGGCACTCGTTTACTCCAAAAGAGGAAAATCAAAGTCGGTTTCCCCCTCACGTTGAGTTATTCAGGATTCCAGTGGGGAAGAGTACACACCGGGCAAAAGGAGACCCCCCTCCACTGCCCTTGTGACCACTAGATGCCGGAACAGGCAGATGGTTGTTTCTGATGAGGAGCATCCCTTCTCCACCACTCCTATAGTTTCCCCCAGTCTGATGAGGGGGCCCAACATGCTGAGGAGTCGCATTCCGACTTATAGTCACAATCTGGCTCTAGTTCTAGCTTCACACCCGCCTCCGCTTCCGATGCCACTAGCTCTGGAGAGGCTCATGACCCGATGGGCATACCTATGTACCCCGTTCTGCTTAGCACCGAGCCAAACATCTGGTGTGTCGATGGGCAATTCCAGCTATATTATGATGGGCAGAACCGAAATGAGCAAAAGAGCAAGACCCGAACCAATACTGAGAAGTGTCGAGTACTTATACGTAGACTCCACACTGTGTCCACTATTGAGGAGCTATTTAAGAAGCACCAGTGTGAGTGGATGGCATGAAGTCCCAGGAAATTTAGCGAGGAGATGGCCCGAGAGTTCTATGCTTCCCACACTGCCACTGTCCGTTACTTTATTTCTAAACAGGCCAAGCTAATAGCTCAGGCTACCTTGGTATGAAATTTTTCCGTTGATATCTCTGAGACCACAATTCACCGTTCATTTATGGCCCAGATCACACTTTGCTGATTAATACCGCAGAGTATGACTACAGAATGGGAGTGGTTCAGAGTGGGTGATACGCTCAAATTACACCTCTTTTCAGAAGCATAAGTGATCGTTATCACGTAAAGAACCCAACTTGTAGGTTGGGGTCGATCCCACGAGGAATATGGTTTAGACTTAAGTTCAACAACGATTATATTCGTTTAGCCAATGTATTTTCGAGACAAATAAGTAAAAAGGGGGGGGGGGAATTTGTGTAACAAATTTTGGAATTTATAAAAGTAATTAGTAAGCAAGATTCAAACTTTAGTTGTTATCAAGATGAGAAAGTAACTATGGTGTACGTGTTCCCCATAAGCTCATTACGCGGTAATCCTAGTAATAGCAATCCTTTCCTAGTGTATTACATGCAAAGTGATAAGTTAGGTATCTCTAAATCCTTGGTCCGACATCTAGAGAATTTCACCCCGTACCTTGGTCCGGCTACGTGTGTATAATTTACTAACCCTTACCTTTACCTCATATTAGACATCACATAGATGTATGGCTTAGTTTTCACCCTCGCACCAATCGACATTAGACTATTATATAGTATCACACTAAATCTATGTTGATAATTCTTTTCTTATTAACTACCTCCTTGGTCCGACAAGTAGCAACAAGGCGAGTTCTAATGCGTGCACTCGTTAAAAAAAACTTCTAAACGAAAGAATTATCAATGCATGCAACAACACTATTCAAGAATTGTTTAGTTACTATTCATACTTTGTTAATTGCTCATGGTTCCCACCACAACCCTAGTTGTGGATTTAGTTACCCATATTAGTAAGAACACAATTCATATTTTTAGAAGATGAAATCATGAACTTACGTAATGAGAATGATAAACCCAAAATTTCAACTTGAATTTCCAAACCAAAATCTTCAACGCAAACTTAGGAAATTAAGAATTGCTAAAGTTGCAAGTTTTTCTCCCAAGCCAAAAACTAGAACTAAATTAATAAAGTCTCACCCCTAAAATCGAGGTTTACATGCCCTATTTATAGAAAAACAAGTCCTAACTAAAATGGAAACAAACTAAGGAAATAACGTTCCAGCACGCATCTTCGATCTACGACACTGACCTATGGACCGTGGATTGATCTACGGTCCGTAGGTCCCTTCCGTGACTCAGTACTTAGCCATTTTTCAACTTCAACAATTGACACCTACCAGCTTCAATCGACGGATCTACAGTACAGTCCGTAGATCAGTCTACGGTCCGTAGATCCTCCTCCATAGCTCCATACATAGAATCTTCCAAAATCAGGTACTAAAACCCCTCTAAGTCATATTTGACGGATCAACAGTTCGGTCCGTAGATCAATCTATGGTTCGTCATTTGTAACTGTGGTTCCACACTTGGTAAAAAATTCCCTGATCTTTTTCCATGCCTTGCTAGTCCATCTACGATCATCATTTACGGAACGTGAATGGACCTACTGTCCGTCAATCACATCCGTAGATGGGCTTTTCTGCACATTATTCAGCTGTGTCTCTCAGTTTTCATGTCTTAACATATTTCCTGCAAACATAATAAAAATAAATAAAAAACCAATACAAAATGGCCCTAGACACATACAGCTCTTAAATGAAATGTATTAAAAATACCGTAAATCACGGTATATCAGTGGGGCATTTCAGAGGGATGCAAAGAAGAGAGAGACTTTACTCCATTGGATGGCACGTCATATTGCCGATGAGAGGGAGCGTACCGAGTGGGTGCACAATACTTCTTTACCTATCAGAAAGGCAACTCTGAGGTTCACTGCGAAGTTTTTTTGTACCATTGTGCGCACCTGACTGTCCCCTACTCAGGCGGACAACGTGGTTACTTAGGATAGAGATGTGATATTGGCACCACTTGTGGCAGGACTTGAGGTTGACTTCGACCAAATTCTGATCACTGAGATTCATGAGAGGGCCTTCAATACCACCACCACTTTACCTTTTCCTTGTCTCATATTTCATCTGTGCAAGGCAGCTGGAGTCCCTATTTAGCAATGTGATAATCTGATAGAGGCGACCAAGACTGTGGACATTGGCCTCATTAAGTATAATGCCAATCTTGCTGCACCACAGATGGATCCATAGGTTGACCTACCTCCCTTGGGTGCTGATCTTGTTGATGATATGAAGCATATTCAGTTTGATGAGACCGCCATACCTCCCACTACTATAGATGCATAGGTTCCCGCTTTTACTACCACTAGTCAGGCTGTGAGCTCATCCCGAGCCACTCCCTCTTCAAGGTCCAC